GGGTAGTGAAAATTTATATTTAGGATGGACATGTGGTCAGAATCGTATATGATTTACATACCCCGAAAGGGGGGGATAAACGCCGGGGGGGCGTAGAGTCCATTCTCTTTTTAGAAAGAAGAATTGACTACCCTGCACCGCGCTTGACCACCTCCACTGCTCGCGCAAACATCCCACCCACCCACCCGCAACTTGGTTTGCACAATCTCTTCAGACCGTGATGGTGGGTACCACATGGCACGTGGCAACGACAGCGACGCCGACGACGACAGCGACAACGACGACGACGACGCCGCCGACAACGACTACGACGACACCGACGACGTCTCCAACGACTTCGACGACGCTGACAACGACGACGACGACGACACCGACGACGACGACGACGCCGACGCTGACGACGACGACGATGCTAACGACGATGACGATGACGACGCCGACGACGACAGCGACGACACCGCCAACGACGACGACGACGTCAGCGACGCCGACGACGACGACGACGACGACGACGACGGCGACGACGACGCCGACGTCGACGACGACGAAGACGACGACGCCGACGCCAACGACGACGACGAAGACGACGACAACGACGTCGCCAACGAAGACGACGACGAGGGAGGAGGGAGGACGACAATGACGACAACGACGACGACGGCGACGAAATAGGAGGGACGACGACGAGACGCCGACAACGACGACAACGACGACAACGACGAGGGAGGAGGGACGACGCGAACGACGAAAAAGGAGGAAGGGCGGCGACGCCGACGACGACAACGACGAGGGAGGAGGGAAGACGACGACGACAACGACGACGACGACGGCGACGAAATAGGAGGGACGACGACGAGACGCCGACGACGGACGACGACGACGCGGGAGGAGGAGTAAGGACGACCACGGTGACAACGACGACGGAAACGACCACGACGCCAAAGAGGGCGACGACGACGAACACGAGGAAAAACAGAGGACGACGTAGGCGACGACGACGAGGACGCGGGAGGAGGGAGGACGGCGACGACGACGCAAGAGCGCGCGCGCGCACGCTTTTGTTGAAAATCAGTGTTGCAAAACCTTGTGCTTTTGTAGGTTTTTTGGACACGCGATGTTGAAACCCTTCCGAAGCCGATGGGTCTTGAAGGATTTCGGCATACGCGCGCGACGACGCGCGCGTCTGCATTTCGTCCCGTTTTTTGCAGAGGATCCTCGCGACGGCACACGCGCAAGGGCGTCCGACAGATTTCGGCATGCGCGCGCGCGAAGCCCGTTTGGTAGCATGTGGTGTAAATCTTGAAAAAAACGATGTTTTTTAGAGATTTCGCAAGAGCTCGCGCGTAAGCTTTTTTAGCACATCCGTGTTGCGAAGCCCTGTATGTTTGTATGTTTTTGGGGAACTCGATTGCGAAATCCTTCCGGCACCGAAGGTTTTTGGAAGATTTCGGCATGCGCGCGCGACGGCGCGCGCGTGCGCTCTTTTTTTTGTGCAAGGGATTCGCGAAAAAGTGTTATGTTAGAACAAAAGATGTCCCTGCGTATCGCTTTTTCAAAGGAGCCTCAGGGGGGTCGATACTGGCCCCCCGGAGATAGGGCAAATTCATATCTAGGGTGGACATGTGGTCAGAATCGTAAATGATTTACATACCCGAAAAGGGGACCGATAACGCCGGGGGGGGTAGAGCCCATTCTCTTTTTAGAAGGGAGAATCCAGGGCGGCGACGGAGCGGCGACGGCGGCCACATAGCCGCCAGACCGAAAACACGGCCCAGACGACGGGCAGCGACGAGGCGGCGACGGGGTGGCGACGGTGGCCACATAGCCGCCAGCCCGAAGACACGGCCCAGTCCTTTTGAACAGGTGTAGGAACCCCCAAGTGCGTTTGGGGAACTACTTCACCACCAGTTCGCATTATCTAACGGGTATCCAATTATTTGCGGCAAACCCCGCCACCGCGCCTGTGCAACAGTGTAGCAGGAAGGCGTTCTAAGTTTGAATGCTTCGCGTATTCCCCCCACCGAGGCGACAGCTTGCGCGTCTCTCGGACGCTTCTGCTTGAGCATGGTTCAGACACCCTGGGACCCTATGGTACGCCATTCGCTGCGCCGCTTTGCAGATTTCCTACTGTTCAGATAGTGTACCCAAGCGGCGTACTGCTTGGCCATGGCCTCAAACACCTTGGGTTTTTTTGCATCGCGCCACTTTGGCAGCGTACTTACAGACTCCCTGGGTGCAGGTCCCTGGGCGTCAGACACCCTGGGTTGCAGCACCCTTGCACCCGCCGCCCCGGCGCCGGCCGCGGCCCGCGCGCGCGTCCGGCCAATTAGTTTCGGCCGCAGCCCGACCGTTACTCGCCGCCGCTGGCGCTTCCGCCCGCGGCTGTAAAACAAAAAATATAGATTCCCCCACCAGCCCATCCAGGAACGATGCCCAGGGGCGTTGCCCAGATCGTGGGAGCGTGGCATCACGTGGAAAGTTGGGAGAGCCCGTGTGGGCCAGAGGCTTCTTGGATGCCTCTCGGAGTCTTTTAGGATTTCTCGCGGAGGCCTCCGGGGGTGTCGTGGGGGCCTCCTGGCAGCATTGGGGGGCCCCTGGCGGCTCTTGGAGGCCTGTTGGCGCGTCTTGGGGGCCTTTTGGCGGTCTTCAGAGCCTGTCGTGGGAGCCCGCTTGGGGGTCTCTTCGGAGCCTCTCTTGGGGGCCTCCTAGTCGGTTTGGTTCTCTTTTGGGGCTCTTGTGCTGTCTTTGAGCTAGTCGCGCAGGCCTTTGAGCCATCTTGGGCGGTCGCACGCTTCAACAGGCGAAAACATCAAAAACCTTGAACAACGAATGGGAAATCAACAGCGTGTGCCTCCTCGGGCTCTGGAGGGCCTCTTGGAGCCTTCTTGCGTCGTCTTAGAGGCCTCTTGGGCTGTTTTGAGGCCGCCTTGGGAGTCTCTTGAGCGGTCTTGGGCGCCATCTTGGGCCGTCTTCATGTAATCTTGGTTTTCGCAGAAACCGTCTTGGAGGTCATCCTGGCCGTCTTGGGACCGAAAAGAGCGCTGGAGAGCAAAGCCAGATATTGCGATTTGCTCACAACGCGTACGTCGAGGGGTGGGGGGGGCCTGCAAAATACAAAACCTTACCAGACACACAAAAGCATTCTAACACGCCCGCTCCGTGCGGGAATGGTGGCAGACTTTTGGCTCATTCAAGCTTCTGGCTTTTGCGTCCATGTGAATCACGATCATGTCATGTATGGTTTGTAGATGCGTCGTTTCCTTGCTGCACGTTTCCCAGTTGTGTTCATTGCTGCATGTTTCTCTTCGCACCGCGACACCGCAACGACACGAACGGCATTGCGGCGCAGCGCGACCCGACGACACCATGGCACCACGTCGTAGCGGCGGCACTGGCACTGGCGCGTCACCCCACGTCCGCGGCACCACCGCAACGGCATGACATCGCAACGGCAGGCGCGACCGCCTGCGTTTGAGGACTGGACGAGACGAACAGCCGCCTACGATCCGGTTCGATGCAATTCGATTTGCCAGTCGGGGTCGGGATTCTGATTCGATTCGATTCGCCAGGGGCAATCTTGGGGCTCAGGGTGCAATGTTAGGGTGGATGGGCCCTACGGATAGAGAAGAGCAGGGGCAACGGCCCAGGGAGCAGGTTTTCCAACGTTCTCGTTGGTTCTCAGCGGCTTTCCAGCCTCGGGATGCGCTCCAGCGGTTGTGCCTCGCCGAGAGCATTCGGGGGATGCCCAGATGGTCGCGAACGGCCGCAGGAGGCCCGAGCTACGGCCCGAAAACCACCCAGGGGCCACGGGGGGGAATCGGCGCAGGGGGGTGCATCGCCCCCAATGGCTCATTCTTCACCGGTAGGGGCCTAACAGACCACCCCGCCCAGACACGTGCGGCTCCGCGATCGGAGGCCTATCGCCGATTACCGATCCATCGGCGATGTATCGCTGATTCCAGGTCGATGGTTCTCCCCCTGAGCCAGGTCCCCCCTATCGATAACAATCAGATCCGGACTGATTCACCCGCATCGGCCAGGGGTTCAGTCCGTTTTAGAGGGTTGAGTCCGTTTTAGATTCGCTTGAGGGTTCAGTCCGTTTTAGATTCGATCCGGTTTCGCGTTTCGGTTCAGTTCAGGCTTGGACGAGTTGGAGGAGGAGGAGGATGGGATGAGGAGGAGGAGGAGGAGGAGGAGGAGGAGGAGGAGGAGGAGGAGGAGCAGGCTGCGAAGTCAGAGGAAGACGATGAAACGAGTCGAAAATCGCAGGGTCGCCGTGAAGGGACAAGGGGTAAGAGAGAAGCGGGTCCCAGACGCTGAAGTTTTCCCCGTCCTTTGGTGGTCCCGGGGCCCGTGGAGGGCCCCGCGGGCCGCGAGTGGCCCAGATGGGCCGAGGAGAGTTCCCGGCACCGATCAGCACACGGGGCGTTGCAGAAGAGGCCCCGCCGCCGGCGCGTCTCGCCCTCTGGCGGAGGCTGGCGGAAGTGAAAGTGGCGGCGGGTCCGCCGGCGGCCGGCGCTGGGAGTAGGAGTGAGGCCGTCAGCTTTTTAGAATCCAGGGTTTTTGGAGTCGGCCATCCAGGCAGAGGAACGTGGGCGAGGAGGTCCGTTGCCCAGAAGGGGAGGGGGGTGGGCCCAGGAAGGGGAGGCGGGGAAGGAGGGGGAACACCTTAGGGGGGGGCGTCTAAGGAGAATACAAGACAGGCTGGCTCCTCATCCCGCCTCATCCTGCTCCTCCAAATCCATGACGACGCTTGGCATCCTTCTCCGTCTCCTCATCTTTCCCTTCCTGGTCTCTTTTCAGTACCCTCTCCTCCGCCCAGTCCTCTACTCCTGCCCCTCTCGGCCCACTTACGGCCCGCTCTTTCTGTCATCCAGGCTCCGGGAGTCTATTGTTGCTCGTCGGCGCTCTCCCCTGAGCCCTCGTTCTCGATGCGCTTGCAGAGTCGGAGCAGCTACACGATGCTGCACCCCCGCCACTTGCCTCACTGAGCCCCCGAGGCGGCTGACTCTGGGGCTGTGCTGGGCGCCACGCTGCTGCCGCCGCTGGATGATTTCGCCCCCTCTGTGGGGCACTCCTTTGACGACCTCGTCTACGCGCTCCAGCACGCACACGACCGGGAGACTAGCGCTCTGCAAGAGAAGTTGGTCGTGGCAGAGTCGCAGGGTGGCAGCGAGGATCGAAAAAGAAAAATACACATTAAGATAAACTTTCGGATGTCCGCCCAGATTTCTTGGCGGATCGGCGCTGGACCACCCCTGGCGGTGCATCCGACGCCGCCCTTGGCGCGCCCCGCGCGCCAGGAGAGGGACGGGTGTCCAACGCCGATCTAAGCATTCCGCGCGGCCCTCCAAAAGGTTATGTCTATACCTCTGCTTGTTCCTCCTACAGGAGGTCTCCGACGAGTTGGGAGCGTATCCCACCGAGGTTGACGCACTGCTGTTTGACGATGAAGGTTTCAACGAGAAGATGAGGCAGAAGCGGGGTAGGATGCCATCCAATTTCAAGTCGACGGTGGACTCCTGGAATCGGAAGCGCGACTTCGAGCGCATAGACGAGCGGATTGGGTGCACCGAGTGGGGCAACAATAACACAATATTTGTGGACCCTGCACAGGCAGGTACCGTGATCGCATGGGGATACAATCGTCTCCTGTTCGGCGATCACGGGCCATATGTGGAGTGCGCACACTCGCAAGTCATTTGGCCTTCCTTCCCAAGGGTCAAGAGGAAGAGCAGGATGGCATATTATGATGAGCATTTCACGATAACGGATTCTCGGGTCTGCGCCAGATACGCCACTCCTCCATGAGGCCACTTGCACGGATGAGCTTAGTTTCTCGAAGAAGCGATCCGGAAGAGCGCAGGCGTGCCCCGAGCAAGAGGAAATGTAATGTATTGCTGGTGAGGGTCCCTGCGCTTGTCACACGAATTGCTGGGTTGGCAGTCAGAGTAGAGAGGTCGTTGTCCGAGGAGGAGAAGATACTGGTACCACTGCTCATTCGAGAGAGCTCTCTTCGCTGTGGTTGGATCTCTTTCCAATTGCTGTCAGAATCCACCTCCAGGAGAGGTTGAGCCAGGCAGCGTTACGACGTCTGGAAGGCGTGTGCCGCACGGCCCATATGACGTGCCCGTGCCATGCCCGTGTGCCGCGCCGTCGTGCCGCGCCATGCGCGTGCTGCGCCTGAGATCTAGAAAGCGACCAGCGCGTCGTGCTGCGTACCGTGCCGGTGCATTGTCCGCGTGCCGTACCGTTGTGATGTGTTGTGCACGTGCGTGGTGCGCGTACCGTGCCCGTGTGCCGTCCCGTCCTGCCCTGCCGTGCGCGTGCCGCGCCTGAGTTCCAGAAGGCGAAATTCGCGCCGCCCGCGTGCCGTACCGCGCTCGCGAGCGCGCCGTGCCGTGCCATGACTGCCGTGCTGTGATATCGCGCTTGGTCTAGACATGCGAGAAATGTGCCGTGCTGTGCCCGAGTGCCGTGCCGTGCCGCGCCTGGTTTTTAGAATGCGAAACATGTGCCGGTACGTGCGGCGATGTGCCCGCGTGCCGTGCCATGCCATATTGTGTTTGGTTGGTGCGACAAATGCGCCGCGCCGTGCCTGCGTGCTGCGCAGTGCCGTGTCGCGCAAGGTTTTGGATGCGAAAATATACTCTGACGTGCTGGGTTCGCGGGCCCGCCGCGTTGCGTCTTGGCTAGAGCGCGAAGAAGCTTCAGAATGCGAAGAAGTCGCCGTGCCGTGCCGCGCTTGGTTCTCAAACTGCGACGAGTTGCCGTGCTCTGCCGTGCATATTTTTCTGAGTGCGAGAATTTGCCGAGCCATGCTGTGGTGCGCCGTGTGACATGCTGTTCCCGCATGCTGTGGCTGGGTTTTTGAATGTGGGGAAGTTGCCGTGCCGTGCTTGGTTTTCAGCGTGCGAAACAATAGTCGCGCGGTGCCCCACCAGCTTTTCATAATTCGAACAGTTTCCGTCATGCCGTGCCCTGCCGCGCATGATTCCCGAAATGCTAGAATGTTTCGAGCTATGTTGTGTTGCGTCCGCGTATGCGAAGGAGTGCAGTGCCGCGCCGTGCCGTGCCTAGGTTTCTGCATGCGACAAGTTGCCGTGACGAGCCGTGCTTGTTCCCAACCCTCCTGCGTTGGGTACTCGTTTTGAATAGAGCAGTGTGGTCTCCACCTTCCTCCTCCTCCTCCCGCCCCCTCTCCTCCTCTCTTCGTTCCTGCTCTCCTCTCTTGCTTGCCTTCTCCTCCTCTCTTCGCTCCTCCTCTTCTCTTCTCTTGCCTTTCACGTCATCCCTGGCGGGCTACGATCTGCGGAACTGTCACCACTTTCGAGGGCGGCTGGTGGGTCCAGCGGAGTGAGGCACCACGGGGATTCAGATTAGACCTCGCCATCCCTGGGGGGGGGCTGCGATCTGTGAAACTGTCGCCACTTTCGAGGGCTGCTGGTGGGTCCAGCGGAGTGAAGCACCACGGGGACTCAGATTAGACCTCGCCATCTCTGGGGGGCTGCGATCTGTGAAACTGTCGCCACTTTCGAGGGTTGCTGGTGGGTCCAGCGGAGTGAGGCACCACGGGGACTCAGGTTAGACCTCGCCATCTCTGGGGGTGGCTGCGATCTCTGAAACTGTCACCACTTTCGAGCACTGTGGTCTCCACCTTCCTCCTCCTCCTCCCGCCCCCTCTCCTCTCCTCTTCGTTCCTGCTCTCCTCTCTTGCTTGCCTTCTCCTCCTCTCTTCGCTCCTCCTCTTTTCTTCTCTTGCCTTTCACGTCATCCCTGGCGGGCTGCGATCTGCGGAACTGTCACCACTTTCGAGGGCTGCTGGTGGGTCCAGCGGAGTGAGGCACCACGGGGACTCAGATTAGACCTCGCCATCCCTGGGGGGGGGCTGCGATCTGTGAAACTGTCGCCACTTTCGAGGGCTGCTGGTGGGTCCAGCGGAGTGAGGCACCACGGGGACTCAGATTAGACCTCGCCATCTCTGGGGGGGGGCTGCGATCTGTGAAACTGTCACCACTTTCGAGGGCTGCTGGTGGGTCCAGCGGAGTGAGGCACCACGGGGACTCAGATTAGACCTCGCCATCTCTGGGGGGCTGCGATCTGTGAAACTGTCGCCACTTTCGAGGGCTGCTGGTGGGTCCAGCGGAGTGAGGCACCACGGGGACTCAGGTTAGACCTCGCCATCTGTGGGGGCTGCGATCTGTGAAACTGTCGCCATTTTCGAGGACTGCTGGTGGGTCCAGCGGAGTGAGGCACCACGGGGACGGGGACTCAGATTAGACCTCGCCATCCCTGTGGGGGCTGCGATCTGTGAAACTGTCGCCACTTTCGAGGGCTGCTGGTGGGTCCAGCGGAGTGAGGCACCACGGGGACTCAGATTAGATCTCGCCATCCCTGGGGGGCTGCGATTTGTGATGTGAAACCGTCGCTACTTTCGAGGGCTGCTGGGGGGCCCAGCGGAGTGAGGCCCCACGGGGACTCAGATTAGACCTCGCCATCTCTGGGGGGCTGCGATCTGCGAAATTGTCGCCACTTTCGAGGGCTGCTGGGGTGACCAGCGGAGTGAGCCCCCACGGGGACTCAGATTAGACCTCGCCATCGCTGGGGGGGGCTGCGATTTGCGAAATTGTCGCCAGTTTCGAGGGCTGCGGGGGGGGGGCAGTGGAGTGGGGCACTCAGATTCGACCTCGCCATTCCTGGGGGACTGCGATTTGCGAAACCGTCGCCACTTTCGATGGCTGCTGGGGGGCCAGCGGAGTGGGTCCTACGCAGACTCAGGCTCGACTTCGCCATCCCCGAAGGGCTGCGATCTGCGAAACTGTCGCCACTTTCGAGGGCTGCTGGAGGGCCCAGCGGAGTGGGGACATATTCGGGTTCAGGTTAGACCTCGCCATCCTTGGGGGGCTGCGATCTGCGAAACGGTCACCACTTTCGAGGGCTGCTGGGTGGCCCAGCGGAGTGACGTCATACGCGAGCCTGGGGCTTTAATCCTCGTTCTTTCGATCGTCGTCGTGTGAGCCGTGCAATGCGTGCGCATCCCATGTAGTCTGCACAGCAATTCACATCGCCTACATTATCGTTGTTCCTGCTAATGTTGGCCTACTCCTCTTGCCACTTGATGCACGTGGGTTGGGTACGTCGCAGGGTAATTGTTTTTTCCCCAACCCTCCTGCGTTGGGTACTCGTTTTGAATAGAGCACTGTGGTCTCCACCTTCCTCCTCCTCCTCCCGCCCCCTCTCCTCTCCTCTTCGTTCCTGCTCTCCTCTCTTGCTTGCCTTCTCCTCCTCTCTTCGCTCCTCCTCTTCTCTTCTCTTGCCTTTCACGTCATCCCTGGCGGGCTGCGATCTGCGGAACTGTCACCACTTTCGAGGGCTGCTGGTGGGTCCAGCGGAGTGAGGCACCACGGGGACTCAGATTAGACCTCGCCATCCCTGGGGGGGGGGCTGCGATCTGTGAAACTGTCGCCACTTTCGAGGGCTGCTGGTGGGTCCAGCGGAGTGAGGCACCACGGGGACTCAGATTAGACCTCGCCATCTCTGGGGGGGGCTGCGATCTGTGAAACTGTCACCACTTTCGAGGGCTGCTGGTGGGTCCAGCGGAGTGAGGCACCACGGGGACTCAGATTAGACCTCGCCATCTCTGGGGGGCTGCGATCTGTGAAACTGTCGCCACTTTCGAGGGCTGCTGGTGGGTCCAGCGGAGTGAGGCACCACGGGGACTCAGATTAGACCTCGCCATCTCTGGGGGGCTGCGATCTGTGAAACTGTCGCCACTTTCGAGGGTTGCTGGTGGGTCCAGCGGAGTGAGGCACCACGGGGACTCAGATTAGACCTCGCCATCCCTGTGTGAAACTGTCGCCACTTTCGAGGCTGCTGGTGGGTCCAGCGGAGTGAGGCACCACGGGGACTCAGATTAGACCTCGCCACCCCTGGGCGGCTGCGATCTGTGAAACTGTCGCCACTTTCGAGGGCTGCTGGTGGGTGGCCAGCGGAGTGAGGCACCACGGGGACTCAGATTCTGACCACGAGCAATGCTCGCGTGCCCTTGCTCTGCGGTTCGTGCCACGTGGCGCTGCGACTCGAGCTGGCGGTCGTCCTTCGGACCCGCAGAAACATCTGCTGAGCTCGATGAGCTAGGGGAACTACAGGAAAGAAGTGCAGGAAACGGAGGCCGGTCATGCACTCGCCGATACCTCGTTGCTCTGTCATCGTCTTTGCTGTTGCATGATCCTTATCTGGCCTGCCGGCGCCGCGGCTCGAGCTGGCGGTCGCCCTTCGGGCCCGCGGGAACATCTTCTGAGACAAGTGGACGCCGCCGCCTTACTTGCAGGCAGCGCATTGCATTCGCGGACAGCAGCATGGCAGACCGCAGTGAGATCCTCAGTCGCGTGGTGTTGCCAAGCCTGGTGGAGACGCGCGTGATCGACCTGAAGTCCCAATCGCGCGTGCACTGTACCTGCGTGGCGTTCAGGCACGCGCGTGATGCTGCTCGCTCCGCGTTCAACCAGTACGTCGCCAGTGCAACTTTGGACGATGGACAACCGATTGATGATACGCGACCCCGGCCTTGAGTTTCTTTCCCGCGGGCCGCCCGCAGACCTGGCGGCGCGCCTGCGAGCGTTCAGCTCCCGCGCTGAAATGTGCGGGGAGGAGGCGGAGAAGCTAGCGGGCGAGCTACGCCTCGCTCGTTCCTTGCACTCTAAACAAGTTTTATCATGTGGAACTCTGCGACGACATGGCGCAGGCAGCGCTGCGGGTTTAGCTCGCGCTTG